CAAGTTGAACGAAATCGGTGAGGAGGCCACTATTCTTCAGATTTACCTTTCCCACAGTTGATAGTAAATAAAAAATGTATTTCTTTAAGAGTATATACGAGGACAGAAGAACTTGACTCAATCACGCTTTGCTCGATCCGCACACCTCGCTAGCTACGCGCGATCTGCCCGCACGCACGCTCTTCACGCACACACATTCGCTACGCCACACTACGGCCGTTTCCGCGACTACTGACACATTCTTTTGCTCAGCGGGAAAGTAGGCTAACTATTTACCACAACTAATAATTCTAATTAACACAACTTACGAAATAAAAGAATAATAATCAAAATAAGAAAAATCACAATCAAACCAAAAGAAAAATAAGAAAAATAAGAATCTATCCTACATATCTATTTAATTTTTTTAAATATAAAAATACCACATAAATACCATATAAAAATTGACTGTAATTTAATTTATATATAAAATATCTTATAATTATGTGTATTTATAAATCCTATTTGCATTTGTCGATCCATTATTATATATGATACTATTTCGAGCAATGTATCACACAAAATATCTCTTTTTTAATATTTACTTATTAATATTCTTATATCAAGTAATATGTCATAATAAATGACACAATTGGAAACTGTGACCATACATCTAGCATACGAAAAGCCACTTACTGAGTGCTAACAAATAGCTGCTTACAAAGGAAGGACGCAAGTATCGGGAAACGAATTTGAACGAAACTTAATTATTTCTATGGGTGCGTTCAGCCGATACTCCGGCAATCGGCCTAGCAATCGTGAGCAGTCGCTCGTTTCCTCTCCTTTGACTCAATGGATTAAAAGGAGAGGAAATGAGCGAAAACGAGCGACTGCTCACGATTGCTAGGCTAGCGGAGTATCGGCTGAACGCAGCCTATACTAGTCCTTCATGGCTTCATTAGCACTAAATATAAGAAGTGCTAGCGCGCAGCGCTCAGCCGTTTTCGAGAAAAACGATCTTGAAAAATAAGCGACGCATGTTTACCGGTTTGCTAACAGAGATTTCCGTCGAAGTGACGCAGTACAACAGCTATGACGCTTGACTTTCATTTGACAAATAGATTTTTCTGTTTTTCGTACAACTTATATCTCATAGGATAGATATACAAAGATGTCCAAAAGTTCAACTTATACATAATTGATAAAGTAGGTTAAGCTAGATTAAGGCAGGAACTACAAATGTAGATATTACTATTAGATTTATAGGAATAATAAATTATTCTCGTTAAAAAACGCTTGACTACTACGCTGCCGGCTTGCATTCAATTTCCGTCCTTTTTGCAATTTTTTACCCTTTCAGCAGAAATAAGATTAAAAAAGTTAAATTTAAGCAAAACTTTTTTATTTAAACAAATTTAATGATTCTAACAAAAAATAAAAAATAAAATAAAGGGAAATGCTTACTTTATCTTTAAAAAATGTTTTTAATTAACTTCTATATAATAATAACTATTATTATCGAATAATAGTTATTACTTATTGCTTTAAATGTTATATACAATTTGAAGGCAATGATCAAATTGCATTTTTCATTCCAGATATTGCGTGCACTTTATTATGTTTTAGTGCTAGTAAAGGGCTATTGTAGAATTAAGTTTTGTTCAAATCCATTTCCGGTCCTCGCGCCCTCCCCTTGTCAGTAAGCTGGATGCAACCAATAATAACCCGTTTCGAGAACCTATATCTCAATAAGATAAAAATTATATAGAAGAATATAGACTAATCCATTGTATATTGAAAAACTATTCACCTCATTGTAAATATCTTAATATCTAAAAATTCAAATATGATTTGCTCAGCAGGTCAATTAATAAAACTGACAGACACTTATAAAGGTGTATTTAATTCATTGTATTTATATAAACAATGATATTAATATATCATAAAACGCATATAGCAAACATGTGGGCCGATTTACCAAATTTCATTGAGATTGAGAATCGGAACAATCTCCGGATTAATATTGTAGCGATCAATTAGTCATGTAATTTCATCGAAACGTTCTAAGACTTTTTCCCGAGCGCCTTCTGCGTTAGCTCGGTTTTCTTCTGTTGTGCCATCTCCTTTTGTTTCTTCTCTTCCTCCCGTCGTTTCGCAGCCTCCTCTCGTTGTTGCTTAATTATAGCTAATCGCGCCAGATCTGCTCGAGCTTCATCTGTTTTACCAGCCGCGTGTAATTTTTGATAATTTGCATAGGCTTTTTGTTTTTCCAGTTGTTCTCTGAATTTTAAAATTACATAAATTTTGTATCAATAATGAGGACGAGACAAGTGATACAAGATATGATATACACTGCATATGATATACATTACAAGATGGATATACACTGCCAACTCAAAAGAGACCACATAAAATTTAAATATGTTCCAATAAAACACTGCTCTGTCCAAGTCATGTCGTACTCAATTTTTTTTTCTTAATTTAAAAGTAAATATATGTATATTATACATATATTATATTTAGCACAATTATAGTTATAACATAGCATTGTTTAAATAAAAAAAAAAAAAGGATTACGGTCATAAAGCTTCTTTCATAAAACTGAGCTATGAATTATCTTAGAAGATAGATAGAAGAATTTTTCGTCTATGTAGAAAAAATTATAACCCCAGTAAGCAAGCATTAAAGTAACATTTAGAAATACTAATTTTACGTAAATTTTTTAACGTTTTTTAGTGATATTTAAAAGTATTTTTAATAATATATAGATATTTTTTAAATATTATTTCGTAATATAATTTGTTTTAATGTTACAATATTTTGAAAACATTACACGACATATATCTTTTAAATATGCTACTCTAACATTTATTTGAAGTCAATGCAACAGTTCAAAATTGTTTATAATTAGGCCAGTCATATTAGACATCGAACCTTTCAATTAATCTTCCCAGGTTGCAACCACCATGAATCGCTTTGATTTGAGGTGCTATAAGTGGAATTTATTTTGCTTCGCGAAATTAACAGGGAATAAAAAGTTATTAACAATATTATAAATAAAAAACGCGATTTTTTCCATTTTTTCTCAAATATCTCGAAAACTAAGCAAGATAGAGTAACAAACTATACGTACCTTTTTTATAGAGCGTAAAATTATCTACAATAATAATCTGAACAACATTTATCGTCAAGTCAGTCGTTTAGCTTGCACATGGAAAATAATTATTTCAGTGTAAAACAAGCGTTAGCCGACCTGTGTGCAATATTGGATAACTTTGCGCGTCAATAAAAAAATCAGCGTTCGTCGTACGAGAAAAATATTGGGTTGGCAAATAAGTTCGTTCGGTTTTTTCCATTCAAAACCAGTCAAAAAACCGAACGAACTTATTTGCCAACCCAATACAAGGCTCCTTTTTTGTTGCAAATTTCGTCCACAACAAAATGCATATGATAAAATTTGTCTCAAATGAATTCTAAGGTCTGAAAACAGCGAAAAACAAAGATTATTCCAAAAAGTCAAAATTTTTTTGCTTACATAGCTACAAACTAAACAAAAAGGGTCTAAAAAATCGGTTGTACCATGAAAAGTATTCTTTGTAGTTCTCAGATAATGTGTGATTTTTTTGTGGATTTTTAATTCGATTTTAAGTGACGGAAAAAATCACCGGTGTAACATTAAAAAAACAACGAAATTGAGGGTTTTCGAGATCCAAGCTTCGGAGTTTGACGGCGCGTGTAAGCCACGGTCGTGAATACCACGACCGTGGTGCAAGCTAAACGACTGACTTGACGATAAATGAGAAAGACTCTATTTTTATATTCGACAACGTTTGGCTAATGTCGTGACAATTCGACCATAGTTTTGGTTTTGGTCTTTTTAAGTTGAAGTAATGTTTGATACTTATGTATAAGCATCTCATTTAATTAAATTTAAATAATTAAATTTATTGCAAAAAATATTACCTCAGCCAGGGTTCGAACCTGGAACCTCGCTCATTCCGTGTAGGGCGTCGTACCAATTCGACCACCGAGGCATGTGGTAATATTCATCGCAATAACAGATCTTACTAAGATGGAAACATCGATTTTTAGGTCAACGTTGTATAATAACAGAAAATCATATGTATTTGTTTCGCCAATAATTAATAAACGAGAAAGACTCTATTTTTATATTCGACAACGTTTGGCTAATGCCGTGACAATTCGACCATAGTTTTTGTCAGATTAATTGACGATAAATGTAGTTCAGATCATTATTGCAGATAATTTTACGCTCTACAAAAAAGGTACGTATAGTTTGTTACCTATCTTGCTTAGTTTTCGAGATATTTGAGAAAAAATAAAAAAATCGCATTTTTTATTTATAATATTGTTAATAACTTTGTATTCCCCATTAATTTCGCGAAGCAAAATAAATCCCAATTATAACACCTCAAATCAAAGCGATTCATGGTGGTTGCAACCTGGGAAGATTAATTGGAAGGTTAACCCCTGAAATTAGTCTAATATGACTGGCCTAACTGGTATATTTTGTTTCTTGAAGATACATTATCACTCTTTCATTTAATCGTTTTTAATTATGCAGCAACTTAAGAAGAACATACCTATTATCATGCAAGCGGCAATAATTAGCGGCTGTATGTTCTTATAACTAACCTAAGTTTGAAAACGTGTAAACAAACTTAACTTATTGCGTAATCTTTAACCTTTCGCTTCGCTAAGCAGAGGTTCGGCTGAACGCAGCCAATAAGTAGTACGACCACTACCAGAACAGTATTCATAGTCGAATCTTATATTTAAGATCGTAATTTTAAGTTTGTTTTCAGATGCTATGCGGAATCATTTCATTAGTTCTGAAGATAAACTTATACATATAATTATACACATATAATAATGCACTTATAATAATGCACAAGTTTGATTTTATATTTCATATAGCAGACATTTTCAATTAATGGCGTTTTAACCAGCAGTGTATCTTCAAAATATATTATTAAAAAATTATAAAATAAGGGAAGTAAAGGCTATGAGGGTCAGACGTAGATCTCCGTGCGTAACATCAAAATTAATGATTTATTGGTTGTTGTAATTTACATCAATCCGTTATACGTACGTTTCGGCTCAACTTTGAGCCATCTTCAGCGGTATAAAATAAAATAAATTAAACGTTCTCCATACTACATTGGTGAGGTTACTGATTCGAAGTTTCAGAAACTATGTACGAAAAACAGACCAATTGATCCATATCTGTAAAAGTTGTTACATTAATGCTGCGATATTAATAACTAAAAGAAGAAAACCTTTAAAAAAACTAACCAATCAGTCTAAAAAACGTGGAATTCAATGCCATACACAAAATGAATATAAATTATGGTAGATAAAAATACTCTCTACGAAGAGACTTAGGGGATCCTAAAGCGAAGGCCGAACTTCCTCGATGTCGATAATGTAAACATTTCTAATCCTGTTTTCTCTATATCTGTCCTTGTTTAACTATAGTAATCTGTCTTTGTTCGATCGCTGCGCCATTTCTCGCTGCACGCAATACTGCTTATCCTATCAACCTGCATGTGCTTTTGCACAAAATAGTAGCGAAGGCTCAAACTTTTTCGCAGCATTAATGTAACAACTTTTACAGATATGGATCAATTGGTCTATTTTTCCAACATAATTTCTGAAACTTCAAATCAGTAAGCTCACCAATGTAGTATGGAGAACGTTTAATTTATTTTAATTTATACCGCTGAAGATGGCTCAAAGTTGAGCCAAAATTGATGTAAATCACAACAACCAATAAATCAGTAATTCTGATGTTACGCACGGAGATCTGCGTCTGACCCCTTATAGCCTTTACTTCAGTTATTTCAATTTCAAGGGTCCTTATACTATTTTATTTAAAAATTATGGATTACAATCAAAACAATTGCACACGTACCGTTCTCTTCGAGACAGTTCTGGTTTTGCAGTGTCTAATGACTGATTCAATTGAGACAATTTTTTAGTTTTTTTTTGTACCCTGTTTGGATTTTCTACTTGAATTAAATTTTCTACACCTTTTGCCTTTCCTCCCTGCAGAAGAACAGAGTAATAATTAATAAAAAATTAAAACATGTAACACTTTATTTATAAAATATGTAACTGTGCAGAAAAGATTTTTTTTAATCTCACGCACGCATACACATCGGCCTAGTTTACACCGATCACTTGATACGCGTATTAAATAGTAAATAACTAGTAAATAAGTCTGATTATTGGCTGATCAGTTCAAATATACTATTTGATACACGTATCAAGAGATCGGTGTAAACCAGGCCATACATACCTCTGTTTCCGATTCTGATTCCGACTCACTGTCGCTATCTGTAGCGCTATTCTTTGACCTATTAGCTCCACTCGTTTTAGGTTCCTCATCGTCCTCTTCCTCACTAGAACTCTCCTGCCCTTTGTTTTTCTAAAAAAATCAATTTTGAATTAACTCAGTTTTCAATAGAGATTACACATCTGCGTCTAAACCCGAAGACCAAGCGCAAAAAAATGATGGATATCACCGAATGCAAAGAAGCTCAAGGACATAATGTGTGTAATTGCCAGACCTAATAATAAGGATTCAATTATACATATATCAATCAACCAATTGTTAGTAAATATTACAATAACTATACCCACTAACAATAGAAGCTATCCTATATGTATATGCAGAGTGCTATTTTAAATGCTCCAAGCAAATATCTCGAAAAATATGAAAGATACGGAAAAACGTTTCAGACGTTTCAGACGGAAAAACGTTTCAAAGTTGTTTGGTTTGAAGGGAGACATATGATTTCAATGTGAGTTATGCCGTAAATGTCGTCGTTTTGAAGAAATTTTAAAGACAATTAATTTCTTAAATAAAACTTGATTTTTTCCTTGAAATAACGGTTATAGATCTCATCAAGACGTTTTCAAAATCTATATATATAAATAAAACAAAGTCGGGTTAGTTACACCATTTATAACTCAAGAACAGCTGGACAGATTTTGTATTACAACCATATAAAATAGGGGTAGAATTTTCCGGCGAGTGCTATGAGTGTATAGTTTTTCGTTACCGATCTTCTGGAAACCGATTTTTCTAATTTTTTTAATTCTTACGCGAAATAATTGACCGAATCTCGGAGAGGGAGAGGGAGAGGGAGAGAGAGAGACTATTGAGTGAAATTATTTGCGTGTATTATTACACATGTCCTCCGGGGCAAAGCCCGGGTAACCAGATAGTACTATAATAAAGCTCTTTTTCGTTAAGAATTTTCTGAGACATTTTAAATTTTGTCGTAATATTTTTAACATAAAATATAAAATATCTCGAAAAGTATTCACTTCTTGATGACTTTACCGTGATACTTTTATACATTAAATAATAAAAAAAATCAATTGTAAAAAAAAAAACAAAAAATTTTTAACAAATTTGATTGATTTTGTAGACGCATTCAATTTTGCAAAATTGCAAATGTAAAAATTATTAACAAAAGTAATATATTTTTTTACCAAACTGACTTTAATATCGAAGATTCTTACATTAACTTACGTTTCGACACTGGTTTTGTGTCCTTATCAAGAGATTTCTATCTCATCATGTTCACGAATTATTTTAGCCACACGTAAGGTTCTTGCAGTTCTAGTAACTTTGTCAAAAATTCTTTTTTAAAAAGAGTCGCAATCCAGAGAGCCGTAATCATAATGCGAACGGAACAGACAGGTGACACGTCGTTCCGAATCGAAAGACAGCGATCGACTGAAAAAATTATTATTAAAAATTATTAGACGTTTATTTCATCGACTACATATTGTCAAATAATCATCGTGACGATTCGACCATTGGTTTTGGTCCGATTGATCGTCAAGACGTTAATAATCTTTGATACTTATATATATAAGCATCTCATTTTCAAACAATTTAAATTAAATTAAATTATTAAATTTATTTTATAATCAATATTATTTCGATGAAATGAACGTCTAATGTTTATTATACGTTGGCGAATTACGAATATACTTTCGGTGTAAAAATTATTATTGTACATTATTCGCTTTCTTTCATTATTCTTTGTATAAAAATATCAAGATAAAGTCATCGAAAAGTGAATATTTTACGAGATATTTTATATTTTATATTAAAAATATCATGACAAAATTTAAAATATTTTAGGAAATTCTTAACAAAAGAGAACTTTATTATAGTGTTTTGAAAACTCGAAGAGATCTACAACTTTTATCTCAAAGAAAAAACCAAATTCCATTTAAGAAATTAGTCGCCTTTAAAATTTCTTTAAAACGATGACATTTACAACATGAGTCACATCGAAATCATATGTCCCTCTTCAAACCAAACAACTTTTGTCTGAAACGTTTTTCCGTATCTTCCATATTTTTCGAGATATTTGGCTGGGGCAAATAAAACGGCACACTGTATACAGGATGTTCGGAAATTCAACAACACACAAACTTTCCGACAAACTTTCCGAGATTATTGGGGTACCATAAGGATCATTTTTTGCAAATGGATCCGGGGTCGCAAACGCATTGTTACATCGCTATAACATCAGGAATGTCAGCGGCAAAAGGTTCTGAGCAAGATGAAATCAAGAACGATCTCAACGTGTTCGCCAGAATTCGCCGGTCCATGGTTCGGCGCTATTATGTCCAAAGATCATGGGAGCATGGGGGACGACACTTCGAGCAGCTGCTCTAAAAACTGATTTATGCAGGCCACAACCGCTTATTTAAGCCGTATAAGTTTTAAAAAATTGACCAATCACAGTCGATTATTTTTCTCACATTCGACTGTGATTGGTCAATTTCTTAGGGCTTAACCAGTTCACTGGTAACTCATATATGGGCGAAAGAAATCCGTGCCACAATTGGTAATGACTCATATATGAGCACCATAAACAGCTCTGCCAATTTTCAACGAATTTGCATTAAACTTGATACACTCATGTTTTTTGGGTCGATGACTATAAATCTGGAGTCAAATTTAAAAAATTTATAATGGCGGATCCCCAATATAGCGGCGCTTTTAACTCAATTTTATCAGTTTTTGAAGAATATTAACAATAAATAATAATATTTATTTAACTTCGGCTGCTGCCAAGTTACTCGGCTGGACTTGGTTTACAATAAGTTCCTTAACACATTCATCCATCCGCACATCGCCAGTCAACCACACCAGAACTAACAAAATTTTGACAGGAACTTCCTCACGCTAAAACTCGTCATTATTTATCACTACTACTCTCACCTATCTTTTCTCATCTTCTATCTTTTCCCTATTTCTGTATAATTTCCTTAAAGTTCCTGGTCCCTGAGCCGAGAACTCCGTGTTGACGGTGGCGATGTACCGTCGCGGTAGAAATAAGAACTCTCTCCAATGGAAAATTCTGCTCTGTGACATGTTGACAACCTTATTTTGTCGTCCGTTTAATTTCTTTATTATTCGCTCTGTACTTGTGCTATAACGTTTAACGTATTCGTGAAACTCGTAAAATTGACCAAGAGGTACGATCTATAGCAATTTTTTATTGAAATGTCTTTTTATTTCAGAATAAAACGGACGACAAAATAGGATGTTATTTCTCGCCTCGATAGCAAGAATTCAATATGGCTGCAATGACTACCCAGGAGCCTTCCCTACTGAAAAAAATCACGTCACGAAATCACGTCATGAAATTACATCACGAAATCACGTAAC